GAGCACCATCACCCAATTTACAACAAATGCTTCACTGCAGTGCAGGAGGGGCAATGGTGTACTTTTTAACAGATGGTACTGGGTTAATTGGATATTCATGTGGAAAAAGAAATGAACCTTAACCTCCGCCTCACACCATTCACAAAAATTAATGCATGAAGGATCATAGATCTGAACATAAAGCTGAAACAGTTAAACAAAAAGAATATATTCATGACTTTTTGGGGGTGGCCTGAGTTTTCTTCAGCAGGCTCTGCATGCATGTGTACACACATGCACACACACAGGACTAAAGACACGACATCAGGCTTTATTAAATTAAGAACTACTACTCATAAAAAGACACCATGAAGAGAGAGAAGCAGCAAGCTACAGATAAGGACAAGATATTTTCGACTCATATATCAGAAAAAGGACTGTGGTAATCAGAATATATAAAGAATGTCTACAATATCAGGAACCAAAAGACACACAATCCAACTGACAAATGCTTGTGCGGGTGTCAACTGGGAAAACTGCTTCAGAAAACCCTTTGGAAGTATCACTCGGGCCAAACATACACTCTATTTCTCAGCAACTCTACTCTTGTGTCTACCAAAAGACATGCACACAGCAGCTTTGTCCACGATAGCTGAAATTGGAAGCCACCTGTGTGCCCATCAACAATAACTTGTGGGACATTCATAGAACAGAACACCACACAGAAACGAAATGAACAGACTCTTGTTACACACAAGGAGCATACATTTCACAGTCATGACCCCGAGGGAGCAAAAGCAGACCCACAAGGGTACCTGCCACCTTAGGATTCCATTTGTAGGAAACCAGGGTAGGAAAGACCAAAAAAGGGTGACAGAAGTCAGCACAGTGGCTGCCCTGAAGGGCTTGCTGTCTACAGCGAGGCCAAAGGAAACCTTACCAGGTGCTAGAAATCGCACAGCTTGATCCGGGTGGTGATTCAGTGTGTAGAAATTGACTGAACTGTGCTCTTAAGATCTGTGCATTTTACTGGATGTAAATTAACCCCCAATTAAAAAGAAAAGATAGTGAAGAAGGGGAGGGACCGATTCTTAGGGGCATCACCTAAGCACCTCCATCCAGCCAAGCCTGAAGATAAATACTCCTGGGCCTCTCAAGAGCCAATTAATACCCCCTCTCCATTTTTTTTTTTTTTTCATCTGAGTCAGTTTGTGCTGGGTTTTCTCTCACTTGCTGGTAAAATCGTCCTCATCACTACCATCTTCCTGCTTCTAGGCCAGAGTTTTCCTCCTTCAGCTCAAGCAGATGGGAGAAGTCCTGCACTTCTTGGGACTCAAAGGAAGTGAGTTCCTCAGTCTTTTTTCTGGTTCTATTAGCAGTAAGCCATCAAACAAGAATCCAACATCTTTGTGCCTTAGTTTCTCCATTTGTAAAATGGAGCTGATAGTAGCACCTTCCTCACACAATTGGTTGGATCCTCTGTTGTGGAGTCTCAGATACCTTCTGTTCTCGTCTCTGATCCCCATTTGATTAATATTTGTAACTATGACTGCCATGGGGAAGGACATTGTGTCTGTTTTGCTCACTCTCATAGCTCTAGTGTCAGGGCCACCTGTAGGATGTGTAGAGTCCTGGACACTTTTTTTTTGTAGAGCCTCTGTCTATATAAATAGCTAGAGTCGCCCAAACTCAGCATGTCAGCACCCATCCTGGTGGCCATATTTCATGGGACCCCTCCCCCCATGGAAGAAACACTGCCATGGCTAGAGGAAGTAGTCTGCTCACCAGTCCGCATTCCCGGAAGCAATTCCCTAGGCATCTGGTGAACTTTCTGTGTGTTTGTGTTTGTGTGTATGTGTGTGTGTATATGTGTGTGTGTGTGTGTGTGTGTGTCTGGGAGTGGGATGGGGAGAAGCAGGGACAGGGCTCTTGTGGGGCTCAGGGTTCCCTCCTTGGGCACCATGGCCAGCTCTGGCAGGACGAGGCACTAGAAAGGGGCTGAGAAAATTCCCAGGGAGGTGCTCCAAAGCACAAAGCCTTGGGGTGAGCCTCCCTTTCACCCGAGTCTAAGGTCAAGACTGCTTGGCCTGTATTGCATCTGGTACATCGGAAGGATGCAATTCATGTTTGTTTGAAGAAACAATGAATGAAAGGGTTTCACGAGGATTAGGTAGCACGTGGTAAGTGGCCACTGACGTGGGGTGGTTTTATTATTATTCCTGGGAGGCAGGAATCCTCCTTGCTCCCATGCCGCCCAGCGCAAAGGAGTCGGGTACCAGGGTCTTGTGACCGTGGCTTGAGTGGGTCAGCTTCTCACAGGGTCAGGTTTGGGAACAGTCCCCATTGTGGGCCTGTCACAGAGGACAGATTCCCAAGGAGGAACAAAGGGGTCTGAAAATCTGGCCAGGGAGAAAAAGACCATTTGGGGGTTATTTAGCGCTTGTTAATTGGTCACCTCGTTAGCAGCCCATCTGCAGCCTGATTCCAGCAAGAGAGAGGGTAAAAGGGAGGGGGCTGCCCTGGCCAAGACTGGCTTCACCATTCAATAACAAGGACAGAGCAATTACCGGAACTTCTAGAGCCAATTCCCGTTAGGAGCGCGCCAGGCTGGGCTTTGTCCTACGGAGAAGAGGAAAAGGTCAGCGTGCTCCGTAGGAGGAGGAAAAAAGAGCCCTTACAGGGAAAGCGCCTGCCCGAGGGAGGGAGGCGAAGAAAAGGAGGGCTCTGCGAAGGTGAAAAACTAAAGAAAGAATGACATTTGGAAGTTTCTCCGTATGAGGGGAGGAGAATAAAGAAATAAAAATTACAAGGGAGAGGGAGTCAGGGAGCAAACCAGGAGGGACCACAGGGGATAGCGCTGGAAGGTCCACACCAGGCTGGAAAGCCCCTGGTAGGGGGTGCCTGGCAGGGGGCTTGCCCCCAAGCCAACCACGGCCCTCTTGGCCTCAGTTTCTCCACCTGTAAATTGAGGGGGGCTGTTGAGATCTGATTCAGTGCTGTGCAGATGTGTGAAGGGTAGGCAGGGGAGGCTCAAAGGTGTTGCTAGGAATGCAAATCCCTGCTAGCCCCTCTGACATGGTCTGAGGCACAAACGGGGCTGCTGCCCCAAAGTTCCCCAACTTGTCCCAGCCCCCTTGCACTGAGGTGGAACCATGGGCTAGATCTGGTCCAGGAACTGTGAGCAGCTCATGTGTCATTGCTGGGCTGAAGCATAGAAGAGCCCACGAATGGCCCTCCAGCTCTGTCCTCTCTGTTACAATGAACTCCAGAGCCTGGGCCCCTGAGTGGCTAAGTGGAGCAGAGGCCTCAGCTGACTCATATGGGATGTGCATCATGAGTGGAAATAAGCCTTTGTTTTTTGTAAGACACAGAGATTTGGGCTTGTTCTGAAGAGAAGCACAGATGGAGGTCGTGAGCCATCTTATTTGCAGAGGATGGGGGCTGAGGGGTAGCCTTGACAAGCAGAGGTCGGAGGTTGGGACCTGTGTCTGAAACAAGCATGGTCTCCATGGGGCCCTGCTGTCTATGCAGTTACCAGGAGTCCCTCCCTCCCTGACGCCTGCCTATACATGTTTGACAACTTCCATTCACTGAAATGAAAGGATGTCTTGCTCCTTGAATGCAAGGAACCCAAGGAACTGAAGGAAACAGCCATCTTCATGAGATTTCCTCATGGATCAGCCATCCGGGCCTGAGTCCTGTGGGATGGGTTTGGGGGTGTCTCTCCTAAGCCAGGTGTAGGTATCTGTCTGCCATAGTCTGTAGTCTGCTTGACCAGGACTAGACCTGCAGGGATAAATAGAAACCATAAAGCCAGCATTCTCCCTTCCTAAATGCCTTAGAATGTGGTGGGCTGGGGCTCCCTGACTGGGAGGAATGACTTCCTCTGCATGTCTTGCCCAGCCCAGGAAGCCTAGGCACAAATCAGTCTTCTATGTGCTCACCTCCCCCTTTCCTGGGAAGAAGCAAGACATCAACAACAATAAACACAGGGTCTATGCAAACAGACACCAGCTTTAGAGTCTTTAAGGGGAAGGTGGCACTTTTCTCCTGACCTTTCCTCTGCCTTTGTTTCATAAACCATTTGTCATTGTTTTCCAAGAAATGGAAAATGGTTGTTTTGCAAATAATTTGTCATCCTTTCTCCAGGGACTATGAATGACGGGGAGTGGATGTGGGGAAGGGAAGGCGTTTCCAGGAAGACAGGAGTGACAAGGTCTCAGTGAGCGAGGGCTGGACACTCAGCACACGTGCTCTTCTTCACCCTGGCCTTCTGGCCTGCATCCCAGAGTCTGCTCCTTGGCTCTGAGCACTGCTCCAGGATCCTTTGCTTCTGTTTTGCCTTGTTCCTCTCCACCCTTATCACCCGCAGCAGTGGGTATTCATTATTTAAACAACCCATGCCTCTGAAGTCTTATTTATCCAACATCTTTCTACAGCATATGTCAAAATTTACAGTAAGTGCATTCATCCCATAATAAACATTTGGCTTTGCTGGTCTACCGGCGGCAGGGCTAATTAGGGAGGGCGATTCCCTTGTTATCTGAAGGGAGGTCAGATATAGCAATTAGCATCCTCGCGTAGCTTTCATAATTGTGTCTCGGAGGCTAGGCCCTTTGGTGCCAGGTGGGGTAGAGAAGTTGGCAGGCAGGAAAGGGGCGCCTTCCCCGGAAAGCTCTGGGAAACCAAAGCTGTGCTATGAAAAGCAGCCCGACTAGTTGGTTTCTAGGGCTCCCAAGTCTGCCTGCAGTCTGAGCTCCCTGCTTGCCTCTCACCTCTCAAGCAGGGCCCGGTCCTGAGAATGTTCTCCCATCCACATCTGTCTACCCAGTCCACTCGGTGGGTACTCAAGAGGACATTTCCACTTGAAAATCCTGTCATTGCCTCAAACTCAAAGCATCCAAACTAAATGGACACATCTAAGAATCAGCATTGTGGGGTTTGAGATGAGCTTTATGATGATTTAAAGATGATGTCATGTGTCATCTCTACCAAGCAGTTGTTTGGCTTTGGCTTTGGCTTTGGTCCTTGGGCTACCCCTTTGCCTGGGGAGGGAAGGGCTGAGTGTTCTGGCCTGGGCTGGGGTTCTCCAGGTGCAAGGGCTGGCCATGGGCATGGCCGGGCCGATGGACATTGCATGTGCCACCCCTGGGCAGTGCAGACTTGGAGGCCAAGAGGTCCAAGAGGCAGGTGCCAGGGAACTTGCAGAGAGCCAGGCCCAGATCTGAAGCAGAAGGCAACAAGACAGAGCAAGCAGGAGCAAGGAGGATCAAGAGGACTGCTGCTGTTCAGGGGTCTACAAGACCACTCTCAGATCCAGCAATTTGCTAGAAGGACTCAGAATTCAGCAACACTGTTATACTCACAGTCACAGTTTATTACAGCAAAAGGATACAGGTGAAAATCAGCAGTGGGAAAAGCACACAGGCGGAGTCCGGGGGAGTCCCAGTGTGGATTTCCAACTGTCCTCTCCCAGTGGAGTCAGCGACGATGTGTGGCAACTCGCACAAATTACTATCTGCCAGGGAAGCTCACCTGAGCCTTGGCGTTTAGTTTTCCCTGGGAGTTGGTCACGTGGGCACGGAACACCTGCAAGACTGACCTCAGTCTCCAGCCCCGCCGGTGGTCAACCTGATACTGAGTGGCCCAAGGACCGCAGGTAAGGATAAAGACATTCTTATCAGGCAGACATTCCAAGGGCTTAAATGTTACCTCCCCAGAGCTGGGCAGGGGCCCGGCTTTTCTGTGGGCTTAATCCTTGCCGGCCCCGGAAAGCCACCCAAAGGAGGAGGGTAAGCGGTGTTAGAACAGCCGGCTGCAAAGGGCAGGGAGGTGTAAGCCTGCCTGCAAAGAAACCTTCCGCCTCTCCACCCCCATTTCCTCAGGGATGGGTCAGAGAGGCACCAGCGTCCAGTCCAGAAAAGTGCTTCCCTGCCTGGGAGGGGCTGGTCTCTGAAGAGGGAGTCTGAGGGAGGAGGCTGTTTACGGAGCGAGGACAACAGAGCACCAGGGCGAGAAGCAGCGAGGGCTAGTGACGCGGAGCCCACTAATATGCACCCCAGGGGCTGAAGCTCGCTCTTTGAGGCTGTGGATGCCTTGAGGTCCTGCAGTCAGGCGAGCCTGGGCTCACCGGCTTTGTTGCTTGGGCAAGTTATGTAGCTTCTTTGGGATTCAGTGTTTTCACCTGTAAAATGAGGATGGTAATTGTTCCTGTGTCCCCAGGCTATGGTGAGGGTTGCATGAGAAGGACATAAGTGGACATACATACTGTCAACACCTCCTGATGAAGCAGAGTTCATCTTTAGTTGCTCTTGGCCTCTATAAAGTTCTTATATTGGGATGAAACCTGTTTTTATACAACTTTCCACTACACTGTTCTGGCTCTCCTTCCTGATCTTCCAGCTCTATCGGTGGTTTCGCCATTTTTTTCAGGACCATCAATTATTCATTTGTTCATTTATTCCTTCCCTCATTCATTCAATACATATTTATTACCTATTGATATTGACATTGCGCTAAATGCTGGGAGAGAAGGGAAATGAGACACTCTTAACTCTCAAAGGACATAGGGTTAAATGAGATAGCAAATGAATGCATAAAGTAAACAGTTACAATGTTTCAGTTGGCAAGTGTACCAAGTACTTGGGGCATAAAAGATGCAGTGATCTGTTTTATCTCCTCCTTCACCTCCCAAAGGCACTTTCACACTTGCCTTTATCCGAATTCTGCCTTTCCTTTCTACTCTTGTTGCTATGGGTTCGAGGATTGCAAATAAGTTGGATTTCAGGTCGGAACACACAATGACTGCCAGTGATATCTGAGAGGCTGTGTTCAGAGGATTCTGAGGCTGCATTTTAGGCAGTGAGACTGGATAAAACCGTCTACCAGAGAGGAATTAGAAAGCTGGTACCGCAGAAGCCTAAGTTCTGGTGTTCTATACCACTGAGGATGGCTGTAGTTACCAATAATACATTATATGGTTTCAAATAGCTAGACGGAGGATGTAGAATGTTTTCAACACAAAGAAGTGGTGTGTCTGAGATGATGGACATGCTAACTACCCTGATGTGGTCGCTATACATTATATGCATTGAAGCATCACTATGTACCCCGCGAATATGTACACTTACTATTTGTCAATTAAAAAAATAAAATAATAAAAGAGAGCAATGATTATAATACAAGTCAACTTTCTGCCACCAGCGCTCCCCCAAGGCTCAGCCAGGCTGACGCCCTGGCTATGTGAAAGCCCCTTTGGTGCCACCCCCGTGCCTGCCTCCACTCCCTGTCAGGACATTCCAGCTCAAGCACACTCCATGAGTCACAGTTTATTACTCCTTCCTGAAATAATGCCTACTGCATTGCTCACTGCCTCATGTCTGCTGTGATGTCTTTACTTAAGAGAGTGTGGTCTTTGGGTAGGGCCCCTTTTATTCTTTGGTGTCCCCCTGGTCCATCCCCACCCCCAGGCTAGTAAGGTCTGGTATCCTGACAGGTGCTGACCAGCTGATAGACAGACAGGCATTCCAGGTAATTACGAAGGGCCGCTGGCTCCACAAATCCTGCGTTAGAGCTGCCCTTGCCACTTTGCGTCTAGATAAGGCCCTTGCCCTCAGACTCTGAAGAGGCCGTGTGATGTTAGCATGCCCGCTCTCCACCTACTTGGCTCTTTGCTGTGCCAGCATTTCTCTGCTTCCTTCCACCACACAATGCAAGGCAAACGTCTAAGTGGATCTGGAAGGAATCAGGTGGGAAGTCTGGGGGCTCCTGGCAGGGAGACAGAGCTCCATGGAGAAGCCAATGACTGAAAATTTAAAAGCCATCATCATTCTACCAATCTGATCTTCTGCAATCCAAGCAAAGGAGGACCGGAAGGTGTGCTGGGACAGGGCAGTGCAGCCCATGGGGGCTGACCCTGGTGACAGGGGCTGCGGCTATCTACTTCCCAGGAAAGCGCCAGGGACGAGGATGCCTGGGAAACCTGAGCTATTAAAATCTGGAACTAGGGTGCTCGGAACAGTGATAAATGGAATCCAAAATTTTTGGAAGCTTCAGGAAATGTTCACTAAGCAGGGTTTGCAAATGATCTGTGCATCCGTCCATCATTCATTTCTTCAATAACATGTTCTCAACAGCTACCATGTGCCAAGAATGGCAGTAGGCACCAGGGACACAAAGAGAAACAAGACACAATCCTTGCTATGAAGGCTGCAGGATCCATCCAGGATTCCAAAGCAGAGGAGGCAGGGCAGGGAGAGGAAGAAATGAATTCGGAGGTGCCGGTTGGAGGCAGGTAATGAAGTACTTCGAATGGCAAGCTGGAGAGCGTGGCCTACACAGGAGGGACTAGGAAGGCCCTGAAGGGATTTAAGCAAGGGAAGGACATGCATATTTGGCAAGGCTGTGGTGTAACAGCATGAAGATGCCTTGCAAGGGAGCAAGCTGAAATCAGGAAAGCCAGTGAGAAGAGAGGAGAAATTCCAAAGACACTTGGAGTAAGGGCTGATTTGAGGAATAGTTATCCTTCACAAGGAACCATAGGCACTGAGGGAAAGCACTCAGTTTTGGCATATTGTGGAAGCAAGACAAACTAGCAAAGAATTGTGACCCAAAATATTAGACAAAGGGGAAAATTTACTCATCTGCTGTGAAAATTCACTTACATTAAGAGGAAGGAGAGAAAAATGGTACCAACACTGGCTCTGGGGTCAGACAGACAAATAATTTGACGTTCACTAGTTGTACAAATTCGAGATATCAATTGACCTCTCTGAGACTCAGTTTCTTCATCTTTAAAATGGGCTTAAATCACATTTGCCTGATGTGGTGGTTTTGAGGATGAAATGAAGGCCTATGTGTAGCATTTAGCAAAATGCATAGAATGAAGCAAGTTCCCAATGAACGTTAGCCATTGGATTTATTACTAGGGATTAGTTGACAATAATAGCGCTTATTGTCATGCAGTGTCCTTTTTCTTGGAAGGCTGGAGAAGGAAAAGGGGAATAGAGGGTGCTAGGAGCAGCCTGGCTAATTGTGAGTCAGCCTGCCAAGCAGTCAGAAGACACTATTGAAATTTAGGAGCCGAGCACGGCTGAATGTGGAGGCAACTCCTGCAGGATTAAGACATAACTGTGGAGTCCACCCCAGGTGCCTTTGCCTCATGTAGCAGATTTTTCTTCCCCGACTTCTCCAAAAGAAGACTGTGGTGTCTCCTGGCCTTCTAAGGGAATACTGCAGAACAGGAGAAGGGAAACTTCAATACTATAACCAGGCTGCCACTGCAGCAGTAGCCTTGCACCTCAGTGACAACTTACAGCACCTTAGTAGGAGGTCCCCAGGTAACCGGGCCCATGTCTCAGCCAGCTTCTCTCGCTCTCTCACATGGTGGCAATCTTTACTGAGGGGTGAAGGGAAATTCTCCTAAGGCAGTGGGCCCCAACCTTTTTGGCACCAGGGAGTGGTTTCATGGAAGATAATGATAACTTTTCCACTGGCAGGGTGGGGGGGGGAGGGGCAGAGCTTAGGCGGTGACGCCAGTGACAGGGAGCAGCCGGAAATACAGATGAAGCTTCAAACTTCTCTTGCTGTTCCACCGCCCACCTCCTGCTGTGTAGCGCCCCTCCCCTTCCTAAGTTTCATGGAGGACAATTCTTCTACAGATTGGGGGGTGGGCAGTGGAGCTCTGTGGCCCAGTCCCTAACAGGCCATGGACTGGTACCAGTTCTCTGGCCCAGGGGTTGGGGACTGCAGGCTCATGGATGCCTGAAGTTCCCTAGATCCTTGGTGGCTGTGGTCTCCAACCCCTGGGTCATAGACCAGTACTGGTCCATGGCCTGTTATGAACCTGGCCACAGAGCTCTTCCTCACTCCAACCCCCACCCCAACCTCTGGCTGTGGAAAAATTGTTTTCTAGGAAACTTGGGAAGCAGGGAACATGGCAGGAGATGAGCAGTGGGTGAGTGAGCGAAGCTTCCTCTGTATCTACAGCAGCTTCCCATAGCTTGCATCACCACCAGAGCTCCACCTCCCCTGTGCTCGGTCTTGGAAAAATTGTCTTCCATGAAACTGGTCCCTAGTGCCAAAAAAGTTAGGGACTGTTGTTTTACAGGGGTCTGTGAAATCAACACCATTTTCATGATGTTATTTGCTTTTACTGTGTTGACATTGGCACTGATGGTGCAAAATCAATGGTGGGCAAAACTGTGGGCCCCTTAATCCAAATCAAGGCCATGCACCAAACTATACCACTAAACATTGTGCTCTTCACCAGGATGCACTTACACAATAAAAAAACCACTTTTACTGAAGAGTGTGGTGATGAGGCAGTAAAAATTATTAATTTTATTAAATCTTTTCCTTGAGGACATGTATATTTAGTATTCTGGGTAATAAAATGAAAATCATGCAAAAATATTGCTAAATACCATTTTTCTTGAGGCAAGCTGTGTTTGAGTTGCAAGCTAAACTAGCCACTTTCCTCATAAAACACCTGTTTGCTTGAAAAAATGATTGACAAGACAAACTATGTCTATCCAGACTTGAGTACTTGGAAAATATTATCTTGCAGATGAATGAAGTGAGGCTGTTGCTTCAAGGGAAATGACTGACAGCATTTGTTGCCATTGATAAGATTCAAGTTTTTAAGCACATTAAAATTTGGGAAATTTTGTATTCATACTGTATCAGTCACAGTCTACTCAGCAGAGAGAAGCCACCTTGCATTTGAATAGGGAAGGTTTAATATAAAGAATGAACTATTTGCAAGAGCAAAAGAGAACTGTCAAGAGTTCCCTAAGGCTAAAGGAGAGTCCCAAGGAAGGAAGAAGCTTGGGAGGGACACCCGCCTTAAGGCTGGGATTTGCACGTCATTGGAGGTGACATCACTGCCACCCACCAGATGATGGAGAAGTTTCCCTGGGTGAGAGTCCTTCCACCATAGTGGGCCACAGCTGGCAGGCAGGATACTGCTTGTGACTGTCAATGGAACTTGCTGGAAGCTGTCATGGGGGCTGTCAAACACTCCTGGAAGCCAGCTGTGGCACAGACAACAGGGCTCACCAAGAAGCTCCTCTCTCTGGTTCTGGGAGCTGCCCCTAAGGTGGGGCTGTCCTGATGGGTGAACTAGCAGCCACTCTCTGCAGTGGCAAGGGAAGCTGCTGATGGGGAGATGCCAGCACCAGTGAGCACGACGTCACTCAGCGTCCCACACGCTGCTGGCTCCTCTGTGCCAGAGGAGCAAGCTGAGAAGATCACTGGAGCTGGGAAGAAAAGATTTTTTCTCCTCCTGTGCTCTTGCAGTGCTGTCTACTGACAAAGCCTCCCCCCAGCAAGGAAGACACATTCCTGTATCACAGGCAGGAATGAAGGTAGATGTGATGCTGAGCAGTCATCATTTGATAACGGGCACAGTCCACCCCTTTGTTGACTCAGCGTCTGCACACATTTGAACATCTGTACAACACTGAGACCTGTTGAGAGACAGCTATCTTTCCAACATGTGACATTCTCATCCTTTCCACAAACAAGGAGATGCCCAGTCTCAACAGTTATTGTACCCATTGCTGGCTGTATTAATGTCTCCTGAAATTTAGCCTTGGTACCATTAAATAATGCCTAAACGCAAAATTATGAAGTTAATCTACAAATGATAATGGTGGCTTATACCCAGCAGCCTGGTACCTTCCTGTAGCTTGGCTTCTCCAGGCACCCGAGAGGAAGGCTAACCAGTGAGTTCTCCTGCTTGGGGGAAACTTCTGCACAGGCAGCTTCCCAGAAACCAGTTTCCCGGTGAGTTCCATAGGTTCCCCCGTTGGCTTAGCAGCGTGTTCAGCAATACCCTTAAGATGGCTTCCCTATAGGTCTCATCAGCTCCAGAGCAGAGAGTTTCTGTTTTCAGGTCCCTGCTCACCAGCCTCAGCCCACTGACTATGGTCCAGCTTTGGTCCAGGGCAACCCAGAGAACTTCTCTGCCATCCATTGGGTTGCAAAGACACCTTGTCCGATGAGGTCCAAATCCCAGTGGCGATTGCACTGTGAACTTACAAATATTTAAAGGTGTGGCTTATGAGATCAGAGGTGATGTTCACAAATGTGATTTTCCAATATTGTATCATGAAATGTATCAACATTTATAAGCTCTGCATGCCTCAGTGAACCAATATTTCCAAACGAACAATCCATGATGTAAAAATTCCATTTAATGTGTAATGGAATGATAGATCAATGAATTTTAATGTAACAGTATATGCAAAGGTGTCTTGAGTCCAAGCTGCAACTAACCTTTAAGAAACTACCAATTTTTGAGTGTTGATGTAATTTCCACGAATATACACAATTATCGAAAAAACCTATTAAGATACTTCTCCCTTTTCCAAGTACTTTTCTGTGTGAGGCAGTATTTTCTTCATATACTTCAACAAAATAGCATATCACCACAGGATGGATCCATAAGCAGATGCCCAATTCCAGCTGTTTTCTATTAAGGCAGACATTAAGGAGATTTGTGAAAATGTAAAAGAAGGCCACTGTTCTCACTAATTTTGTTTTGTTTTGGAAAATTTAAAAAAATCATATTGTTTTATACTCACATATAATGGATCTGTTATTACCACATTTAAATGAATTAAATATTTTAAAATTTTCTCAGTTTTAATTTCACATACAGTATCAATAGACATAACCTACATCAACATGAGCTCTTTGGGGCCTCCGTAATTTTAAAATTGTGAACAGATTCTAAGACCAAAAATCTTGGGAGCTGCTGTTCTACATTGGAGTAACTTTCCAAATGTGAGGCCCCTGAGCTTGAAAGTGAATAGATAGCAGGTGAGGTCTTGTGGCACACCAGCCGTGGGGACACCCCTGTGCCAGGGATTTAATAACTCATAGACACTTGCATCCAGATGCCTAGAGACACTTCAGGAAGCAGCAGAAAAGGTCCTGCTTCATTTCTACAGCACCACGCTTGCCTTCCTGGCATCCTGCTTCTGTTGATGTTCCGTGCCTGAGTCCTCACTGAACCTGAGCGCTAGGGACGGAGAAGCTCCTGTTGCTCTGAAGAGGCCTGGCCGGGAGGAGAGATGCAGGTGACCCAGTGGGAAGGGGCTTCAGCTGAACTGGGGGAGACATTTTAGTGCTCCCCGTGTGATATCAGGGTTGGTTGCTGCTCTGGTGGATGTCTCTCCCCCTTGCCACTCTGGGCTCCCCATTTGTTGGACAGAGCCAGCTACTGCTGATCCATACCCTCTTCTCTCCTACACTTGCTGTCCTCACTCTCCCCCAGTTGCATGGAGTATCTGTGTACCTTGTCTGATTCCTTCATGCTAGACTTTGCAGAGGATGTGAGAGATACCCTTGGCACAAGAGAAATGAGAAAGGCCTGGTTGTTCTACACTGTCCAGCAGGTGCCCACCCTGAGACGCCAGGAGCACCTGAGACGAGTGGATAGGTGTGAGAAGGAACTCTCTGATTCGGAATTAAAGTACAGTGGCAGGCTGTCTCATCTTTGCTATTTATATTCCAGGGGGGCAGGAGTTGCCCATTGGAGGGTTCTTTGTGACTTGGGTGAAACTGCTTGGAACATGCCTTGTTGAGCAGTTGGAGATGTCCACAGTCTTGCTCCTATGATTGGGTGGACATCATGGAATCACTGAAATCTACTACAATTCTGCAAACCAGGTAGGACAGGCTTTCTCCCACCTCATTTAAGGTCCATTAAGGGCCAGAGATATACAGAAGAGGAGGCGTAGGGAAGAGTGTCCCAGAATCTGCTAGAGGGTATCCTACCCAAAGTATGAGGAGGGAGCAGTTCCCTGCACCCCATTCATTATCCAAACAACGGGTACCCGCTGAGAGCAGTCCCAGCCTGCACCTTCTGTCTGGGGACACAAGTTGCCTGTGAGCTCTGCGTCCGTGCCCCAGGAGAGGCTGTGAGCTGACCAGCTCAGCAGAGAGGCAAACACAAGGGGGAAGCCTCCTCAGTCACCTTTGAGATAAAAAGAAAAAAAAAAATGAAAGAGAGAGAGAAAGAGAGAGAAAAGGGAAAAAAAAATCAAAGACTAATCCTAAAAATTCTCCTTTAATCTTAGAGCTTCCAGACCTAGTTTCTCTTTCATCTAGGACTTCGAAGTTATCTAGTTATTTTATGGGTAGTGAAACCACAAGGCGAAGAGAGGGTGTTGGTGGGGAGATTAAATTAATGAGCAGGTAAGCAGGTTTATTATTTCGTCTGATCCTTCCTCCCTTCCTGCTAATTTCTCTGAGCCAATTTGGGAGGCAGAGCCTATCATGTTAACTCAGAGACAGACTATTGTATCCATGTTCTTTCTGAAGCCATTTATCTGAAGGATATTAAAGATCCAATTTACATAGACATTATGGCATTGTGAGGAGAGTGTCTGTGCCCATGCTCAAATGAGAGAGAGAGAGAGAGAGAGATAAGGGAGAAAAAAGCGATCTGAGATACCCATCCAAGTGGGCCTGTTGGTGTGCATGCTCCACTTGCAGTGCCATCTCTCATGAAGCTCTTATAGAAGTTTGCAATCACTCAACAAGTTAGTTCAAGAAGTCATTCGGCCTTGACAGAAATCAGGCTCCAGGCAACAGCGGAAATGTTTTTTAAATCTGTGCTTCAACCTCAGGCTCCTGCATTTCCTTTTCATTACCACCAGGTTCACAGTGGAGGAAATGTGGCCCTCTTGATCTTGATATCTGCTTGATTGGGCGCTGGATCGTGTTGCCCCAGCCCACGTGTGTGCCCATGTAATGAGGCACAGGGTAGGATAGATGCAGAGAAGGGGAGGTCAGATTCCCAGGCTAACTCTCAGCTCCTGGGTTACCCCTACACAGAGCCCTCGGTTCTGCACAAGGGAATTGAGTGACCTGGGATAGGCCACATGGGGGGTTGGCATTTTAGTCACTCATGAAACATAGATAAAAACACCTATCCTGCCTGTCACCCTGGTTTGTTATGAGCATGAAATGAAGAGATCCACGTGACAGCACTCTTAGACAGAATTTAGCAGGACTGGGAGGATACATACCCAGCTATAGTGGTTTGTAATGAAGATTCTTTTAGCAACAGCCAATTTCTCTTTGCCGATGTTGGGCTCATCAAAGAGCCTTCTGGTGGCTAATCTGGCCTCTCAAGCAGACTTGTTCACCAGCCCATGTCAGTGGTCAGTACCAGGGGTCCTGCCGGGGATGCTGCCGTTGTGAATGAGTGTGCTGGTGTTCACCTCCATTTCTTCGGTTCATTCATTGGTTCTTTCATTATTCACCTGCCAGTTACCGGCAACCTGATGCCAGTGGGTCATAGCCTTGACTTCCCTTTAGATCACCTGGGGAGTTATATAAAACACTCATGCCTGGGCCTGTCCCCAGACCAATTAATTCAGAAGCTGTGGGAGTAGCTCCCAGCTGCTGGTAATTTTTATAAAGCATCCTAGGTCGTTCTAATGAGCAGCTAGGGCTGAAACTGACCTGATACATGCCACGCATTGTGCTTGTCTCCAGAAGATGCAAAGATGAATAAGATGCTCTTAGCTCAATGAGAACCATCCTCCTAGCACTGATGGGCCCTGGGAGAGCTGGGTGATTATAGTCCTGATTTTGCAAGGTTGAGGATCAGGATAAGATCCAAACTTCCCGATGACTCCCCTAAATGATCTTTCCTCAACCCCTCACTCACGAGCCCAGCCTGCCAGCCTTACCCCTTCAGAGTAATGGGGACTCCCCAAGTCCCAGGTACCACTAAGATCATCTTGGCCTCCCACTGTGGCTTCTCTCCCAGTCCAGCATCTCCTAGGTCACTCTGCCTACAGCACAGTTGGTGACATTGGTTTGGGGATGTTTAGCCTTTCTCCACCCAGGCTCTGAGCCAGATGATCCTGGAAGCCACGAGGAGACTATAATCTCAAGAGCCATCTGCCTCATGGATCTTTCCTCTTTTCTTCTGTCCTGAAGCCTGGCCTTTCATTGGACCTGCAGTGAAGTTGATGGTTTATTTCCAAAACAATGAAGCTCATTTGAAAAGGCGAAAAGATGGCTATGCCCTTATGGATGAATCTAGATCAGGCATGAGATAGATCCTCTTCAGGTTTTTATGATTTGATCAGGTGACACTTCTTCCAGGTACTAATCATTCAAGGAAGGTCATTTCCTTCCACCACGTCTGCGTCCTTCTCACTTGGGTGAGGTATGTTTCTCCTGCCCACTGTCCTCAGCAGCCTGCACCTGAATTCTTCGTGCTGTGCCTGTCACAAGTCGAGAAGGTGGTACCAGCTCAGGTCAGGGATCTGGGATAGAAGTGGGGCTTCCCAATCAATTGTTTCTTCCTTTATTTCCTCTCCAGAACTCGCTGCTACAGTCGGATGAGGTTGTGATGTTTTATCATTCAAGTCTGTTAAGAATCTGTTTCTTTCTGCAATCAAAACTTTGTTCCTGTCTTCCCAGGGACTTAAAATACTGTCCTTGAACCGAGACGGGGCCCTCGCGCATTAAACACACTCGCGACTTCAAAGCGGTGCATGTGTTGCCACAGAAGGTCCCCGGGGAGTGTCAGTGAGAGACGTGTGTTTGCTATAGTACAAAGAGAAGCCTCGCTTCTTGACGGAGTTGATCTGAGGGGTGGGGGTGCTGGAGGGGTTTGTTGTTTGTCTCCAGAGGAGGAGAGGACTAGGGGAGGAGAGGTCTAAACTCCAGGAGGAGTTGCGGGCTACAGAAGCCTTCTTCCCAAGGAGGGTCATGGTCTCCTACCGGAGGGAGGGCAACAGTGATGCCAAGACCCCTGAGACTCTACTGTGCTAGCTGTTTCTGCACTCGGAATAATCATGAAGACATCACTATTGGCGGAGCACTTTTCCACGCACTACCTCGCTCACGCTCTGTGACTAGGTAGTGCTGTTACTGCAATTGTCAGAGGAGGAAATGGAGACTCCAGAGGTCAGATAGCATGTCCGTGTTTGCCCGGCCAATAGTACACCTATGTTCCTTCTTCTATAAAAAAAAAGGTGGAGAGTAGATTTCAGTACCTGATTGATTGATAGCTGTTGCTTAGAAAGAAAGCTGTATACAGAAGGGTTTTAAGATTGCATCTGGGCTCAGTGGGAAAGATGGCTGTGGTTGAGTCATAAGGTAAACTTATATTTTATCATTCAGACTGGGCTGCTTTTGAGAGTGAAAGGAACTGGATTAACGATTATGCTTGAATGACAAGTGTAAACTTGAATTATCCCGGACAAACCATGATGCTTGGTCACCTAATTAAGTAACCATGTGTGGTCAGGGTGTCAGGGTGGGGCAGTGTGTGGAGATTGCAATCAACATGTCAGCTTTGACTTATTTCTATGACTTCTATGGGGACTTCTCTTCTTATCCTTCTCCCAAGGAGCCAAGCTCAGCCTTTTATGTCCTGAAAAAAATCGAGGGGGGAAGTGACAGAGCAGAGGACGTCTGATATGACCACAATCCAGACCATAATATGCCTCACCCATTTGTGCTCCCAAATCTCCAATCTCCTCATCTCCTGGAGGGAGAACACCAAGTAACGAACGCAAGAGAAGGGAATGTGCACTAGTTGAATAGTTCTTGTTTTGATTGCATCATCAATACTATCGCCATCTTTAACCGCTGCCGCTCCCTGGCTTGAAGAAAGCTCAAAATCTCCCAAAACCCACTGTCATGGTTACATGACAAGCTTTGGCTCACTGCTGGAATTCACAGCCAGACACACATCTGCTCTTGCTTTGACTAGTTCAACTGCCTCTGAACTCCTAACTGCCCCTCCTCTGGCCTCCTCCACGTCATGATCCCCTCTGCTAGCAGACTGATACTTCCTAAAGTGCAAATCTAACTATACTAGTTCCCTCAAATCTTCCTAAAATTCTTCACTAGTTTTTCACATCTAAAACTGTTAGGCTCACCTTTACAAACTTCTAGGATCGCCTCCGTTACTTCCCCATACAGGCTATGCTCTGATGCTACCAGATTATTAACTATTTTCTAAATGCGTATGTGGCACAATTTTCACGCCTCTACACCTTTGTGCGTGCTGTTCCTGCTGCAGTCTCTTCTTTTGCTTCTTTCTCTGCCCGGTGAGTGTCTACTTAACCCTTAAGAGCTCACAACTCCCCCACTCCCCAACCCCAGGCAGAACTAATTTCGGCATTCCCCTGGCGTGTTTTCACTTGCCGTTGGGATACTGGCTCACAGCGCCGTCCCTCCGACTCGATGTGAGCTCAAAGAGTAGGGATAAATGTATAATATTCATTTCTATTGAATAGCATGATGCCTGGAACACCAGCTGCCTAAATAATGTTTGAGAAATGAATAAATGAATAAATGAATGATGCCAGACCCCTGGATGGAGCTTCTTTCTTGTAAAACGTTCAGGCCATCAGGGAAATATCCTCATGGCTCGGCTTCTAGAGACTGCACTCACTGCAAGGGCCAGGGAGGAGGAGGACTGTGGGATCAGCCACGGGGGCTGAATAGATCCTCTGGGGGCTCAGTGAGGGTAGAGACAGAGGGCAGCAGCGGGGAGCAGGGGAACAGGGTGGGGTGGAGGCCAGGCCACATTGCACGGCCCACCTCACTTGCTAAGAAAGCCCTGCTGGAAGTGGAAAGTGGCAACCAGAGAGTGGAGAACGAGCCAGGAAAACAAGCTCCTCTCTTCACCTTCACGTACCCTGTTCTCTGCCTTATGCTTTCTCTTCTGCCCAAAGCTGTGAGTGACCTTCTTTGCCTGGCCCTAGTAGCAAGTGCTCCTGCCCCTCCCCTTCCTCCATGACCCTTGCCTTGCCTTCTGGTGCTGAGGAGCCTTCTCTGCCTGACCTCCCTTCCCAGCCTCCTTGGAACACCAAGCTTAGTCATCAGCCTCCCCTGTCCCCCACTAGCAATTTCCCCCACGGTGACATTGCAGAGGGGTGGGGGCCTGAGTGCCTCCTGGACCTGAGCCTGAAACAGGAGGTTCAAGGCCTCATTCTGTACCCCACTTCACCCCCCGCGCCTACGGGGTGGAGGGGCTTGGCTGCAGCTTGCCCCTGGCCCTCTCGCTGACTCCTTGCTCCGAAACTGATTATCTGCCTTTCTCCTCTTTGCCCAGGCTCATTTTTGGCAGCCCAATTAGTGCCTTGCAGATAGTTTCTGGAGTCTGAGCAATCCTCCTACCCAACCTTTCCCCTGCCGCCTTCCCTTTCCCGCCCTTGTAGGGAGATGTTTGACAAGCTCCTTTCCATTTCATCTGCGAGCAGGCTGACATGCTCAGAAGCTCTGCCGCCGTCTTCCAGATGAAAAGCAGGTTAATGAAGGCGTATTTCCAGCTTGTTTTTAAAAGGGAAAACAAAAGAGAGAGAACAGGTATCCTAGTTAATGGTTCCTAATTGTTTCTTTTCCGAAAAATCTTCAGTGTGAAACAGCCTAATTGAGTGCTTCCTAACCCAGCACTGGGGAAGGGAGAGGGGCTGTGCCTTGTACCTCCCACTCATCCCTCAGACCCAGCTCGTCTGCCAGCTCCTCTCGGGAACCTTCCCGAGCCTCGCCCGCCTTGGGCTGGGTCTGGCGATGATAGTGGACACTGCGCTGTGCAGCCCAGAACCTTCTGAAGGACCGAAGCACTTACTCTGGCAGTTGCTGTAGGGCTGTCAGCAGACAGTCCTTACCTGTCAGTCCTCCTTGGGAGTCACCCTCACTGAGCAGGGTCATCTTGCTCAAGGTCCTGCCCTTTCCTGGGCCAGCTTGCGTCCGGAGATTGGCCCATGCAAAGGTGGGAAGGCCTGGACCCCTCATTTGAGCCCGACACAACTCTGAAATGCCATTCCAGCATCAGGGTCCTGTGGTGTCATGGGCTGAGGCTGTTAATGAAACTGCATTTGGCGTGCTAACCTCCATCTCCGGGTCTGCTTCCTGAGGAACTCGACCTGCAGCAGTGGTTCTCCCCGATGTTACTGTAGTGTCCTTTCTAGCCCTCATTACTGGGGTGCAGTAGTATATTGGGTGCCCAAGGAGGCATTTTAAGAGGGGCCTAATGCAATGAGGCTGTTTGTGTTTTTCCATTTGGTAGAGAGCTTGATCTTCGCAGACTTCTTATACCCGATTAATTCCTACAAAACACTGTCTACCAATCCACCTACCTATCTACCTACCTATTTATCATCTACTTATCTACCAATCTAGCATCTATTTATCTACCTATCATCTGTCTATCTTTCTACCTACCATCTCTCTCTATCCATCTGCCATATCTATCTATCTATCTATCTATCTATCTATCTATCTATCTACCTACCCATCATCTATATCTATCTGTCCATCCATCCACCCATCTGTAGTAGAAGCTATTGGTGCCCCATGCAAGGCCCCTTTACTGGTGGCGTATTCATCTCTCAGCTGTTGCAACCATCGGCTCTTAACAACTCACAGCTGCACCCTTTTCTGTAACACTGCCCTTGGCACAATGGGAGCTGCTTCTCCCTGGAGACCGTGCACCCACCTCCCCTTCCCCATGGCAGCCCTCAGCGAGTGACTGACTCCACAGGGCAGCTCTCCTGCCCCAAGGTGCGACAAATTCTGTGGGATTTGCAGTGCAGAGCTACCTACCATGAGATCAGACTGAAGCTGGTTTCCAGCCAAGAGCACATTCCCGAGTAGCGTCATCTCTACCCCTGTTCCATTTCCCTCAATCCCCCTCTTCTGAATATACTACTCTAATTCAGAGCTTGAATGAGAGTCCTCATCTCAAGCTCTGCTTTTTGGGGAGCTTGACCTGAGACATTTGGTATCTAAAGTGGCTGTAAAAAGGAAGGGGAAAAAAAAACAAAGGCAGACATCAGTATGAGATTGTAGAATTGGATTGCAATGGAGAACCTATTGCCGTGGTAGGTGGAGCACTGAGAGTCCCTGGCAGGCTGTGGCAGTGTGATTGCCAAGACCCTTACATGGTGAGCTGGAAAGGGACGTGCTATCTGGCTCAATGTCTTAGGAATTTGGGGAGTATGTTAGTCTGCTAGGGCAGCTGTAATAAAATACCATATCCTGGGTGGCTTAAACAACAGCCACGTGTTTTCCCACAGTTCTGCATGCAGGAAGTCCCAGAACAAGGTGTCAGCAGGTTTGGTTTCCCCCGAGGCCTCTCTCCTTGCAGATGGCCACCTTCTCGCTGTGTCTCCACATGGCCTTTCCTCTGTGCACACATTTCCTTTCCGGTGTCCCTTCCTCTTCTTATGAGCACGCCGGTCGTATTGGATGAGGGCCCAACCCTTATGACCTCATTTAAACTTAATCACCGCTCTAAGGGCCCTGTGTCCAGATACGGTCACCTCGGGGGTTAAAGTTTCAGCAAACAAATTAGGGTAGGGGGCCACGATTTAGTCCATAACAGGAGCTTTGGGAAAAAGACGTACAAAGACAGTGTAATTGGGTGGGGTTTGCTAAGCACCACTGATTTGTGGAAGAGAGAAAAGGGCAGGCTCAAATCTATTAATTAACAATTTAATGCAAAGCAGCAGCATTTAAAGAGACCTTCCGTTCCTACAGCCAGAAGCAGACAGAGCTAAAGACCAGGCACCGGACTTAATTGTAGGAGTGGCCGCCTCCAAAGAAGACTGACTTCTCGGACTTGATGGGTCACTTGTGCCGACAGCAGGGCTCTGGCAGGGAAGGTGTGGGATGCTGACACTGGGGTGCGACTATCTGGGTTGGTGTACTGAGAACCGATCTCCAGAGTTCCCTGAACTGTTTGGCCTGCACAAATGGCCCGCCACCCCTGCCAACAGACAGAGGCCTCTGCTTGCTTGAAGACAGTGCAGAGGCCTCCAACGAGGCCTTTTCACAGCCAATGCTTGCCCCCCTCGGGATCTGTCCTCGCCTCCCACCTGGCCACCAGATCGTAAATCGGGGTCAAATCTCAGCATAGCCAGACTGGGGAAGCGCTGGGCCTGCCGAGGGATTAGAGGATTCTATCCAAAGCGGCAGGAGCTGGCTGTCATACAGTGGAACCGGAACCGAGAGTGGATCCAAAGGGCTCCGAATGGGGAGGGGCCGGGACATAAAGCTGGATGGGGGTGTCAGGGGGTTCAATACAGGGCATTCTCCCATGACACAGGACACACCACCCGGGTAAGGGCCCACGTTGCAGTTCTAAGATGCTGCTGGGATGGCTCTGGGAAGCTGGGATAAAGCAATGACCCACATTAAACAAAACCCAGTTGCTGGGATTGCTGTGGCAAACTGGGAAGAAAGAGACCAAAGGCTCAGTGAAGTTGGAACACTTCAACCTGTGAGTGGGTCTGTTACATAACACTGGAAATCTACCAATGTCCCCTGTTCCTCCAGAGGGCCGAGAGAACACTGCTTACTAGGGTGGGAAGGAATGTGTTAGTGAGGGGCACCAGCATCACCAGAGAGTCGTGTCATCAGGACTGGGCTCCCTGGTAGAAATGGGGACGGTACAATCCCAGAATGGCAGAGGCCGGGAGGTAGCACCTGGTCGCCAGGAGCAGGTGGCCATTGTTGCTGTAATGGGCAGTGAGGTCGCAACGGCAGCCAGGTGAGCCTGGCCTGCAGGTATCTCTGGAAATGGCACATAGATCACGGTGTTCCTAGAGTCAAAACAGATGGGCAGCCAGCAAAACAAATAAATGTAGACATGTGTATATATATATATATATCTGCAAGAAATCAAGAAGGAATGCACATAAGTATAACTGCAGCCTTTCCAGCAGAAAGTCAAGATGCCTTGCCTAGTTTCCAGAGCTGAGCCAGTTCTTAAACCCAGAACTCACAGACTAAAGGGAAGGCTAGGTTCCCATGAAGAGGGACCCTGCAACACTCTTGGTAAGTGTGTACAGGAGTGACCTACCCCCGCCCCAGTTCTTCTCCAAAGCACCTATAGTTATTTACTTGCATAACCAGAAAAAAGGGAATACCCAAAGGTTTTGAGGTCTGTTGGAGACAAGATCTGAGTTGACACTGATACCTGTGGATACAAAGCACAGTTATGACACCCCTGTTAGAGAGGTCAGAGGGTGTCGGGTAATAGAGGGAGTTCTGGCCCTGTCATGTCCCAGAATGGTCCACCTGGTGGTCATTTCCCTGGTTCTTGAAATATAATTGGATTGGACATGTTTAGCAGAAGATATAACCTTTACATTAGTTATTTGACCTATAAGATAAGATCTATTGAGTAGGAAAAGCCAGTAGAATGCCCTGAATTTCCCTCTCTCTACCAGGATAGTAAATCAAGAACAATACTATATTCTAGGGAGGATGGAAAACATTAGTATGAACCTAATCAGTTTTAAAGATACTGAGGTGGTTCCTTCCTGTCCCACATAATTTGCCAATTTGGCTCTGCTAAGCCTAGGTGTACCATGGCTGATGGCAGTGGACAACTACAAAGTTGACCAAACAGCAGTCCCAACTGTAGCTGCTATGCCAGCCATAATGTATTTATTGGAGCAGGTTAGCATTGCCTTGGGTAAATGATGTGTAGCTATTGACCTGAAGGATGCATTCTTTTTTTTTGCATCCATCATCAACAAAGATTAAACACAGTTAGCATTCACATGGAACAAGCAGCAATATACAAGAGCTGTCCAGAAAGTTTCCAGCCATGTAACTGTTCTCGGTACATTAACAATGGCTGGATACTTTCCAGACAGCCCTTGTATATTCGACATCTTGTCTCGGGGAGACTGTTGATGCTGTGTTCATAATACAGTCCAAAGTGTCTTAGACCCTCAGGATATCCTACAAAACATCATTAATGCTATGGTGTTAATTGGACCAAGAACAAGAAGTGACAAACACCCTGGACAGGGTTTCTAGAGAGTTCGTGATAAACCCTAGAGACTTAGGGCACTAATGGCCTAGGAAGAGCCCCTCCCCAGGATGAGTTATTGCTCCTTGTACCTTCTATCACCAAGAAAGAAGCCTGACACTTATTTGGTTTCTTTGGGTTTTGGAGGCAGCATATTCCGTATTTGGAAATTCTGTTATAATCCATGTATCAGGTGACATTGGGAGGCTCCTAACTTGGATGGCACAAGCTAGGTCAACCCACCAGGCAAGTAAGTCTCTCAGACCAGTAGAAGGGCTAGCTAAATACGAGGGGACTCTAGCATAGGTGATGGAGGGAGAAGATAATGAGTAACAGTCCCGGCCTTGGGAACATGCAGCAGGGCTGTGGCTCATCCTGTTAACCCTCCTTTGCTCTGTCCCCAGGAAACTGTGACCTATCGGAGTCCCGGTGCTTCTGTGTCTGGATGGAATAAACTTAGTGGAGAAGAAGCGGATCAGAGCTGTGCAAAGGTAAACCACAGTGCATGCTGTCGGTGCCCAGCACAGCTGCCCTTTACCCTCTGAGTCCAGGCCACCTGACTTGGGAGACTACAGCCCCTGGCCACGTGGGAGCTGACCTCAGCCAGTGACTGACTGTCATGTGGGGGACAAAGGTTCTCAGGCTGGGATGAACTCTGTGGTGGATTCAGTGCTCCTGATTAACGATTGCCCATGGGATCCCTCTGAAGCTGCCTCCAGCTGAGGCCACATTTTGACTTCGCTCCCGCTGCACTTGCCCCTTCACTCCTAAGACTACATCCTCCAATGAGTCACTTGAGCACGAATCTCTACTCAGGCTCTGCTTATGGACGACATACACATAAGTGTGCATATGTGTCTGTGTGTATTCCTTCATTCACGTATTTTCCCACCTATTTTTTATTTGTATTTATTATTTTTTAACCCAATACCTCTTCCTCCAATGCCACCATTTCCTAACATATTCCTCACAAATCCAGTTTCACATTATCCCTCCCTGACTCATGTTCATGGATTATGTGACCCTCAGATGTCTAAGCCCCAATTCACCTACTGTGTCTCAAGCCTTAGCTCGCTAATTCCAACCTACAGGTTTTGAAGGAAGGAGAATTTTGCACCAGGAAAATTTTACCAGTTCAACTTGAGTTTGTAGATGGAGTTACATCACATGAATGAACTTTAATTTCCTAAATTTCATCATAGAAATTCAAAGAGAGTGAGCAAGAGAGACTTCTATTTACCTTTTGTCCTCTCCTCCACAGCTCAAAATCAAAGAGGAAATAAAAGGAATTAATTTTTGGCTCTTGAGTTTCTGAGAGCTCAGTTCTTAGAGATTTTAAGGATTTTCAAGGAGAATTTTGACAATACTTATTTTTACCTTGCATGTTTGATTTTAAGGCAGGCTCTCCTGCTTAAGGTAAAACTCAACTGTGATAAACTATTGTATTATTCTGTAAGCTAGGCTCTTTATTTCAAATCAGGTTTCCCCACTTTGGTCTGAATTAGTGAAGTTTGACTAAATGTGGACAGCAAATGAATTGCAAATTATATGTAAATGTGTATAAATTAGCACCAGTTATTAGAATAATTTGCATCGACAGCTCTGTAATTAGGCAGCAACCTGGGAGAGAAGGGCAGTGGGCAGGGGACCCAGGAAGCTGGAAGGCAGCCCCAGAAGTCCCGGGGTCCCCACCTCTATGTTAATGAGGCTCAGTTCTCCCTTCCCTGGGCCCCTTAGCATGAGACCTTGGGGATCTAAAATCCAGACCCTGGCTTTTGGATTTCTGGCTCTTGTTAAGATTCCTTGTTGGTGCTGCTCGGGGATTTGGTTTTCCTGTTCTGTGCAGCACAGCGAGAAGTCATGGGATTTGGAGTGTAGAAGTCTCAGGTCTATTGCTTTTGTGGCACCTTTGGTCAAATCACTCTCTGATCCTCAGTTTGCTCATGTGAAAAATGGGATTTGTAACACACACTTGCCCCCCAAACCATCACCTGATATTGGGGAGTTCAACATGAGATTGTGTATGTGAACTTTGCTGCCTTCTACGTGCATTTGATATTATTATGGTATATGAGCTCATCCAGCTGACATGTGGTAGACCCAGGATTTAAACCTAGGTATGCCTGGCTTCACAGCCCCTTGCACCACTGCCTCCTCTGACCCCTTCCCACATCAGCCACTCTCCTGGCCCTGCTTGGCCTCCTGCCTCATGGGTGCAGGTCTCTTGAAGCCAGGGAGAGTGCCCTCATGTCTAGTGCATCCTGTCCCAATACACTTGCTTCAAGAGCATGCTTCAGTGAATGCCCACTTCCTGGGGCCCGTGTCTGTCCATGGGCTCATCTAAGGTGTTTCTCTCTTTCTCTTTAGTCAGGAAAGAGAGACAACAAGGCAAATGGCACGAAGTCCTCACCCTCTTCTCTGTAGCTGCCCTTGGGTAACGCACCCTTGAGGTGCATGAGGGTAGCTACCAGGGCACAGGGAGCTGCAAAGAGTGTGTGATGAAACAATGACCACCTACTTGCCTTGGCAACAACTCAGATGGATTTGCTGTCTTTATTTGCCTTGAAGACACATGTCCAATCACAGGAGGATGATCGGTGGCTGGGGGAAGCACAGGGGCTGTGAGTCATCCCTGGGCAGACACCAGAGGTGGCAGCACCCACCACAGAAAGATTTAGGGTTTAGTTTCAGAATCAGGTACAGATTCCTGCTCTGGGGACTCGTAAGCCTTCTGAGCCTCCTTGTGCCCTTCACAGAGTGACTATGAGGATGAAATTGGATTTTAGATGTAAAAGGAATTTGCTGTTATTTCATTATTCCCAAGAACACCCAGCATGGACCAGTCAAGTCTTCGGTTCCTGCCCAGGTCTGCCTCCCTCAACACACACAAGCCGCGTGCCAATTGTGGAGAACTGCTGGTCATTCCAACTGTTGTTGCTCAAACCACCGTCTCTTCCCTGGATGGCTTTTCCTGCCCCATTGCTTGGCTAACACCCATGGATTAGTTCATCCATTGAACACATGGAGATTTATTGAGCATCTACTATATGCCCACTGCAATGATGGGCGTGGGGGACACAATGGTGAACTACACAAAGATGGTCCCTTTCCTCAAGGAAATTATATTTTCTGACCCATTTCACACTCAGCTTAATATGACAGGCTTCCTTGACATCATCCTCCCTTAATAGGTTGGAGTGCCCCCTCCTATGTACCCCACCGGTGCCTAGAGGTCTTCTACCCTGGAGCCTTAACATTGCAGTAACTTCTGAGCACTCTTCGCCGCTGCCCCTCCCTCTCCTCCTTGCTTGTCTTTCTTCTTCCCTCTTTTCTTCTCTCTCCTTCCTTCCCTCCTCCTACTGGTAGCCATCTTCTTAGTCTTTCCTGGGAATTTATGAGGCCAATCCTTGAAATGAGAAGGTGACTACTTTCAAACAGATAAAAGAAAGCCCTTCTTTTCCCAGCAGATAATTAATTTGTGTCACTTGTTGGTTGTGGAACATAATTGAGGCCAAGGGCTTAGGAAGGAATTAGACACGTAGTGGCACCAAGGGGAACGTATCACTGGCTCCGCTACCCCATCTCTGGGGGGCCAGGTCAGAGAGCCCTGCCCAGAGCTGGGTAGCAGCCTATTAAGAGGCCCTGGCCAGGTACGGTGCTCACTTACCCTGTGGTGAGCTGAGATGTAGCTTCCTGCCACGGGAGATGTGTAGTCAAGGGGTGGATGCAGAATACGTCTGCAGCCTTAGATTCAAGTCCCAGGTCTGTCATTTTACTCGTTGAATGATTCAGACAAATTGCTTAACCTCTCAAAGCCTCCGGTTCCTTGAGATCCAGAACACCTGCATGTTTCTCCTCCCTGGGATGCAGAGAGGCTTGGGCACAACAGTCGGTGAAGCAGCCCGGCAAGCTGCAGAATGCAAGGGGTTGAGTGCTTCGTGGATGCTCCTGTCTCTCACCTTTGGGCACAACAGAAGGCTGAGCACTGGAGAAGAGGGGACAGTCATGCTCAAAGCTGAACGTCTAAAGCTGCCGACATTGATCCTGGCTGGAAGGAGCATCTTGCTGGCAGAGGGTGATCTCGGGTGAGGTCCTGGGGCAGAAGCGATCTGAGCAGCCCTGAGACCCAGGCCTGCATCCAGCTCTCACCAGCTGTGAGGTCTGGGCAAGTTCTTTTCCTCTCTTGACTCTAAGTTTCTTCACCTGTAAACTGGACACTGGAGGTTGGAGCACAGAGAATCGTACCAGATCATGATTTCTCCAAGTCTATTTGTCAGGATGTGAGTGAAAATTTTTAAGAAAAAAAAAATGAATTCCAGGAAAAAAAGAATTCACAAAAAAGTTTGAGACACACTGCAAGATCTATAGAGACAATCAGAACACAGAGTAGTGTTTGCATCTCTTAAAAACCCTAAAATAGGGAGAACTGTTTTTGTTTAACCTGGCTTGGCCCCAATTTTGCAGAGCCCTTATTAACGTCCTCTGGATGTTGATGCCCCCAGAAACATGCCTCTTGGAGCAGGGTATAAAGCGATCTCATGGGTTGCTGCCCATTAAACATTTTGTGCCTCCGTGAAACTCACACGGCAAGCCTCGGGAGCGGAGGGGGAGTCCAACCTCACACCAAGAATGGTCCAGTGCTCAGTGCTGGGCTGTTCTGGAATGACCTATGGAATCTATCTGTAATCTCCATCTCCCAGATTATACTTGACCATGTTAGGTGACATTCAGCCAGCTTTCCCTGAGCTGGCAGGCAACACCTGGCAGAGGGAAGGGTGGATAGCAGGGGACCCGGCAGATAGGAAGCCTGGAGTGGGTAATTTGGAGTGCACTGCAGGTGCCGGCATGGTGCACATATTGCAAACTAGCCCCGCAGGGCACTACGTGAGCTGAGTCTCAGGAAACTGGTAGCAGGTATGTTAACCCGATATTCTACCTGTAGAATTCCAGCAAGGAAAGCGAAACCTGAGTGCGATGCTACTCAGCATTTTCACGCACACGCACATGCATCGAGTACTTAAACTGTGCGAGGCACTGCATTGATTGCTGGAGACACAGAGGTGACTCGGACACAACCCCTGCCCATGAGGTACCCTCAGGCTGGGGGAGGGAGGGAAGAGGAAGCAGCATGGAAACAGGTGACAACACCTATTCGCAAGCATTGTGTGCAGTATGATGTGGGAAGTTTGTAAAATTTCAGGTGCTTGGCCTCTGTCCCACATCTTGAGGATGAGAATCTATGGAGTGGAGCCCAGGTACCTGTGTATTATGATATGTGACTGGGTTGGGGAATTGCTGAATTACCTTGTTAGTGTTAACATGCTAACCATGCACTTTGGAGCCAGAATATCAGCTGGGTGATCCTGAACAAATCACTCCACCTCTCTGAGCCTGAGTTTCTTTATTGAAGACACTCCTGCTTATGGGGGAGGAGTGGCATTGGAACACCGGTGTGATGCACCTGGCACAGCCTGGCATCCCACGATTGCTC